TCCAGACCAAAATGTCAGCTTTCCTGCTCCTCTGATGCTGCTTGGCCTGCTGTGTTCATCCAGCTCTACACCTTGTTATCTCAGATTCTCCAGCATCGGCAGTTCCTACTATCTTTGAATAAGAAAGAGTTTTCTTTCGTCTTAAGCTTCTGATATTGATTGATAAATTTGCTATACATTGCTAATACAGATATATTTCAGAATAATATTCCTTTGTTTAAAAGTTTCAGTGCTTTTTTAAAAATTGAGACATAAAGGCCATTGTCTCCAAAGATTACGTATTTTAAGATTTATCACTGAAACTTTGCAGGTCTCTGTTTAACAAGATTCCTTTGTACAGTTGTCATGTTCAATTAAATGATCTTCTCTGAAGAGTTTTGTAAGCTTTTAGTTCAAATGTTGTGACAGTGAAATGAATAACAATATTAGCGCATCATAGTGCTCTAATATTAGAAGTTATTTTATTACTGAAGATTAATTAATTCAACAGAACTAAAATATATGGCCAAGACAAGTTGAAATGGGTGCACAGAGGATGGAACATAGGCTGCCTGATTAAGAAATATCTGTAGTATAATTAGCAAAAAGTACACTATCTTATTCATCATCTTCACTTGAGTGGGAGGGAGAAGACGTGAGTTTGGGATTTCATGATACTACATAAAGGCAGCCACAGCTTCTTAAAGAGATGGTGTGTTTTGGCTGCAAACATTGTGCAACAGATGGGAGACGAAACTACTGGTGAAGTGGATAAGTAGACACTAAAATACCCTGATGCCACACTAGCAGCTTTAGCACAGGAACCAGAGAGAATAGGAGCATACATTTCCCTGGTCCTTCGGCTACCTACTTGGGAGATAGTGTGGAGAGATTGCAGAATAGATCAATACCAGGAGTATTTCCTCAAGAGCAATGAAAAGAAATGAATGATTTAGCCAAAATTGTTAAGATAGGAAGTCAGTTAACAATACTTTCTAATCAATGCTGCACCATCCACAATCTCATTACCTTTAATGTAAGTGTAGCATTTCAATCAATAGCAATAATCCAGTGGTATTGAGACACAGGTAATGTTCTGGAGACTTGGGCTCAAATCCCAATATAAAATTGTTTCCAATTTTCAAAAGAAAATTTGGAATTAAATGTCTCATGATCCATCACAGTCCCACTTGGGGTTCAAGTTGAGGTCATGACAACTACTGATGTTAGAGGTGTTGCTATGCATGATTTCTTCATAGCTAATCACCTTTGTCTTTTCTGGCTTCTCTCTTACCCAACTCCATATGACACGTTGCAAATGATTTCAACATCTTTCCTTCCATTGAAAATGCTGTGAAGGCCAACCTCACTGAGCCAGTGAAGGAAGATTTTGTGAGAATTTTATGCACAACTGGGTGATGACTTCAGCAGAAATGTAATTTGCTGTCTGGTCCTATAATTCTGCCACAATTATGCACTAGGCATTCATGTGAAAGGCAGAACTGCCAGCAAATCAGAGGCCCAGAGTGAGATGTAAGGTGGCAAACAGTGCACATGATGACAAGGGAACAACTGCATGAAGTGAATGAAAGGACTACTGACAATGTACAGAAGGTAAACAGATGGGGTGCATCAATAGATCAGGAGCAATGCAGTGTATTAAGTAGGAAACTACTTCACAGATGGACCACTGTAATGCTGAGAGCCCAATTCCTTCTAAAGTGCTCACCATGACTGTTGATCGTCTTCATCTTGTCCACAATTGGTACAAATTTTGAAAAGATCACATAATACCTAAATAATGCAATAGAAGAGGCGCCGTGCACTTGGAGACATAGTGGTTTAATGATTATTCTCTGTGTGCTCTCCCCCAAGCTGAACAAATGGTGGAATTTCTTCCCATGAGTTGGGAAGCGAGACCTGACCAAGCCAGCCTGGTAGCAGAGGATGTCAGTTGCTGTGGGGTTATCCTTAGGACTTGGGTGAAGTGCCAAATAAAGCTGAATGATTTTATTGATCTATTCATGCTGCAAGGGTGTGTGAGCATCCTAACTTTTGACATAGGTGCACACCTATGGTAGGGTATGCATTAGTTTTGTATTGCAAATGTTAGTCAAGAGAGGTGAATGAGTGATAATTGTGTGCTGACAATGACAACTGAAAAAACATTGGTACCCTGATAAGGCGTTGGTGGCTGTAAGGGTGTGTAAGGTTACATGGTGCAGGTCATATGAACATAGGCTCATTACCTTCTGAGAAAAATAATTCTCATCTCTGTCTTTAGTGGGAGACCCCTTAATTTTAAACTGCATACCTTAATTCTCGTCTCTGTTACAAGGGAAAACAACCTTTCAGCATCGAGTCTCCTCAGGATCTTATATGTTTCAATAAAGTCAACAGTCATTCTTCTCAACTTGAAGGCCTAACCTGTCAAACTTTTCCTCATAAGATAACACCTTCATCCCAGGAATCAGTTGAATAAACCTTCTTCTATTCCAATTACGTCTCTTCTAAAATAAGGTGATTATAACCATACATAGCACTCTAGATGTGGTCTAACCACTATACAACTATAGTAAAACATTCCTACTTTTATAAAACAAAGAACTGCGGATGCTGAAGATCTGAAACAAAAGAAATAACGGCTGGATAAACTTAGCAAGTCTGGCCGCATCTGTGGAGAGAAAGCAGAGTTAATGTTTTGAGTCTAATGACCCTTCTTCAGAAGAATGGGAAGAACAACAAAAAGAAATATGAACAACTTCCACTGGAGATCTTGAAACTGACGGGAGGTGGGGGGAGTCCGAGCTTCAGTACTTTCACTGTTGTGCTGGATGCAAGTGGCATGTGGCTCAAGAGGAACAACAGCCAACTTCTAAGCATGGAGAAATATAAATAATTCACCTCGCAAATGTCAAGACGAACAATATCCACGATGCTAGAGTTAATGCAAATCTTCAACATTAGATTTGCAAACATGACATTGCCCAGTTCCGAACTGGAGATGATTTAAAATCTGCCCAAAATATTGTCTGAGGACATTGACACCGCAGGGTACAAACATGATGATGGTTGAGCAAAACAAAAGTAGTGGTGGCTTGAACCTTACAAGAGCAGCACATTCATGGTAAGGAGTTAATTTGTACAGTGGTCGGCCATTCACAAGACAGTAAAACACATTCATATTATGTTACCATAGTTGCTTCGATGTCCTCAGACAGCTAACCAGTACGACACACCGCTCCACAATTTCCCCTGCATAGAACTTTGTAACTTGAAGGATTGTCCAACTCAGTGTCGTACCGAACCCCAATCCTCTGCTCAACGTCAGTATGGTTAATAGTATTAGAGGTATATTAAGTTCCAAATAGGGCCGGGAGACCAAAGCGTTAAACAGGAAGAGCTTTATTATGGAAATGTTTACGCTACAGGCAGTGAGGTTAGACTGAACTGTTTCCTGCCCAAAATGGCCAGTGATGACTTCATTATTTCATGTGATTGGATTCTTTGTGACAGTCCACCAAACTTAACAACTACAAAATACCAACCCTCTCCCCATTAGAGGTTCGTGCAAAGAAAATGTTCATAATATTATTCACAAAGTCATATGTAGTCAGTAGACATATATAAGATGTTTTGGAGGATATTGATTCCTGTGTTGCTGTTGGTGCACCTCAGGTGTCTGTTTATTTTTCTCATTGGCCTTAACCTCTGGTGTTTTAGGTGTACTAGGAACATCATCTGTTGTCTTTTCCTGAGATGACTAAACGTTCGAAGGTCTGCACAATGTAGTAGTATTCTCCACTAAGGTGCTGTCCCCTTCAGATAATCCAGTTACTGTTCTGTCCTCAGGTATCTCCAGGTCTCTATTTCGTACAGTTACTTATGGATCTTCAATTAACACTATCCCTGGTAGATCGGCGATTGTCTAGTGGTATTATTGTTGGACTGTTAATCCAAAGACCCAGATAATGTTCTGGGGACCCCAGTTCGAATCCTGCCATGACAGATGGTGGAATTTGAATTCAATAAAATATCTGGAATTAAGAATCTAATGATGACCATCAATCCATTGTCAATTGTCGGGAAAAACCATCTGGTTCACTAATGTCCTTTAGGGAAGGGAACTGCCATCCTTCCCTGGTCTGGCCTATATGTGACTCCAGACCCACAGCAATGTGGTTGACTCTGAACTGCCCTCTAGGCAATTTGGGATGGGCAATAAATGCTGCCTGGCTAGCGATGCCCTCATCCTGTTAATGAATAAAGGATTCGTTGTTGTTGCAATGTGTTGATCTGCAGATCTTCTCTATACTACATCATCTCTTTTCTGTACAATATAGAAAACTAGTCCAGTCTGTGTTACAGTGATGGTTGGTAACTTGTCCTATCGTTACCGGTGTCTTCTCTACTTGTTTGATGTACTG